GGTGGGGCCGGGCCGCTGCCGCCTGTTCTCGGCGCGGGTGGGCGCAGGCCGGCGTCTGGGCGGGGCCGCGCGGCTGCCCCCGGGTGCGTGACGCGTGTTGGCGGTAATAAAGTGCGAGGCGCTTCCTAAGGGTGAAAAGGCCGCGTCTGCAGTCCGGCGTGTGTTTGAGGAGAGCTGCGGTTGATGCCCGAGAACAGCAGAAACCGGCCGTCGTCGCTTCAGCTACCACTCGGCCGAGTCCTGGGGCTCCTGCATATTCCCGTGTCGGAGCTTGACCACGAGGGCAAATCAGTTCCGAGGCTGTCACGGTGTGGCATGCCGAGCCGGTCCCCCATGCCCCTAGTCTGACTTTTCTGCATGGGTTGCAGTCAGCCGAGAGAGCGCCGACGGCTTCAGTTAATCTGTAAACGGAGAAATGCGTACTAAAGAAGTAATCGTGTGGCTCCCCTGACACGTGCAGATTCCTGCAGGAATTTGCAAGCATGCGCAGGCATAATCTTGACCCAGGTATGTACGCTTACATGCAACTATAATTTTACGTAGCCAACAATAATGCATAAAATGAAGAATATTAATGTTTCGCTGCCTCTCACGACTCTTGTTCTCATTTGTTCTAATACTTTAGCTTTTTATTTCAGTAAGAAGTGTGGAGCAACACATCAGCCCTCTTTTCATCTCTGTCAGCATCCAGTCTTTGTGGGTGATGATTCAGCCATCAGACTAATCTCAGATGAGATACGCGTTTGCTAGAAAGAGTAAGGTATTACATTTTATGATTGGAAAAGAGTAGTGTTTGTTCATCGTTGTCCTTAAATCATCTGCCAGGGAGCAAGGCCCTCCTCTTGGCCTACGAATCAGGATCAGTGAACTCTAGAACTTTTTTGAGTGGTTTGACACCATTGCTTTATGGGGTGACTTGTCAAACATATGAAACATGACAGCTGTGCACTTGTACCTCAAGTGCACAAACACAATAGATCAAACATTGCAATTCTGCATCTGTCTGCCATGGTTTCTCTGGCTGCTTTTTTTTTCCTCTTGTTCATTCTGAACAAGTTGGACTTTTTGTATCCGTACCAGCCTTGGAAGCTGAATGTTTCTCTCTCATTTTTAACAAAAACTTGTGCTGGTCGTGAATTCCAGTAGTTATTGCGTAATTTACAAGTAAAAGAGATACTTTCTAGCTAGCCTTTGCCATCTTAGGATCTGAAGTAAAGTTAATCTTTCTGATTCATGTCTCACAGTTTTACAGATTATGTTTTGGTTTTCTTTACATCAATGCAACATATAATTTTGAGTTGTTTTAAGCAGAGACTATTAAAAACAGTGTTACCATGGTAAGGTCTTCCACCCAAATGAGTAACCTCACAAAAAAATATCTCACTGCTTAATCATTGTTGACACTTGGAAACAACAAGGTTTTAACTAATAGTTCTGTTGATGATGCATGAATGTCAAAAACTCATTTTGCTTTCCACTTAATTAGCTACATAAAACTAGTAATTAAGGACAATAGAGATGTATGTCTCTAAATTACAGAAGAAAGAGGAAGAAAGCACCACAGTCCTTTTTCAGAAAATAAACTACTATGTTAAAACAGGACAGTAAGTTCTATAAGCAATTTAAATACTAGTTTTGTCTGTGGTGATCTTTCTTCTCTTGTAGCTTCTTCAGTGAAAATAATGTTATTGATGTAGAATGTATCCCAGGTTGCCACAGGGGGTGTAGCTAGCAATTGTTTTATTTAAGGATTTTTTTCCCAAGGCTTTTTTATAGCTTCCCTTTGCTTTTATTTTTCCTACCGTAAGAAGTGTTAAAGAACTGTTTTTTATTAGGCATTTCATTCAGAGAAACAGCCCTGGAATCTCAGCAGCAGAGAGTGATGTAAAAAACTTCAACTTACTTTCTCCTTTTCATGTTATTTTTTCTGTATGTACATACTTGCCCTTCTTGCATAGAATTCTTCTGTAAGGCTGTTTGGTGAAATCAATGAGAAGCTGACCTAAAACCAGTAAAGTTGGAAGGGTGTTTTTTTGCTACACAGGTCATTTAAGAATAAGAGGAAAAATAAGAGTGATGCACACAAGGAAATAACCTGTTCTTTGGACTAGAAAACTGAGGATCTGACAGTTCCTTGGATGCAAAGCAAAGATCCTGACTTTCAAGGAGTCTAAAAAGCTAATCAGTGAGTTTGCCTCAGAAACTCCTAGAACACGTGCTGGAAGTCTTCTTACTTATTGGGAATTCTGCTTGAATAAGGAACATAGCTTTTAAGTAGTATCCACAGCAGATTGCAAGGCTTGAGGGAAGAGTCAGAGTTTGGTGAGACTGGTTAAAATAAGTATGTAAAGATTGAAGCAACAGTCTGCAACCTAGCTGCCATAAAGTTTTGCAGATTTTTTCTTCCATTGTGAAAATTGAGTAGAGCCCATGAAGATCCCATTTGCAGTATAATGTTGCTAATTATGTCTTTTCTCAGTAGGACATAGGTGTATTTGTGTTTTTTCATCATGGCAACTACCTGCCCACTTGATACAGACAACGTTCTGGACCAGGGAGACTTCAGTCCAAGAACTATAAGAGTCATAGAACAAGCAGGTTGTTCTCTACTCATTCAACTGCGCTGCATGCTTGGTGATCGATTCTCATCTGTCAAGTGCCTTGAGAATACTTCGTCTCAGACATACATGTGAATGTTAATATGAAAAAGCAGTAACTCTCCCAAAGTTTAGCACATCATGGTCACATTAGCTAAATAATGTGAAGCATGGTGACGTATAGGACTTCTGCGAGGAAGGCAATGGCTAGTGCTGGATACTGTTCTCCAGTCTGTAAAATTAACAGTACTGCAAGTGAATGTGTAAGCTCTTTGTGTGGGAGGAAGCAGTGCACTTGCCTTGAAAAGTCATTTGACAGAGAATGATGCAAATGCAGCAATTACAAGGGCTCTCTCGGTTACCACTGCTACTGATGCAAGAAGTTAGCTTTGAACTTCTTTGCTGAAGGAGAAATAAACCACGCTCATTCTGAATAATTGATCACTGTTGTCCAAAAGAAAAAAAAATGGAAAAAAATAGGTTTTTATAAAATGGTATAGTGTTTTTTCCATTTATTGCTTGTGAGACAATATTCCGAAGAAAAACCGGCTGCTATCCTTTTTACATGATGAATATTCTTTGCGGAACCTTACTAGTACTTCTGGTGCATGTCTCCTTTGAAAGTTACACTGGTGAGTACTAAATTGAACTGAGGAAAGCTCGCTCTCTTTGTGTTTCTGTTTCTTTTGTCTCCAATAGGAAAGGCTGCAACTAGAATATAAACAAAAGTATTTTTTTTCCCTGAAATGAAATGTAGGCAGCTTTGGCTATCCGACGGTCATTCACTTTCTGAGATTCCACTTGTAAGTGATCTAACTTCAACTGTTAAGCAAGAGATTCTTTCAAAGCAACTGAAATACACCTTATATTCCTGATTTCTTAACTGGCATTTTGAATAATTGCTTTTTTTTCTTCTAACTATGAATTCTAAAAGTAGACCTGTGAACGAAAGTGGTATTACTGTTCTTTTCTTAAATGAGGTCATTTTGCCTTGTTTTGGTTTAGAGTGCAGCTCCACAGACAGTTGCATCAGCACAATTGATAGGTAAACTAGCAAAATGGTAGAAGGAGTTGGGTGAAGAAAAGGGCAGGAACCTCTTCGGCTTTGCTGCTGGAAAAATTGTAATGTGGAACCGTTTGTCATGTTAAACCTCAGTCATGTATTAAATGAATCTAAATATTATTCTTAGTTTCTGCATGTTAATTTCATAGAAGTGATTTGAAAAACAAGGTATGTTATATAAGTAAACTTGATTTTCTGCAGAATACAATTATTTCTTTTTATGTGCTTATGGTGTTTTTAGAAACATAAAGAGCAGTGATATTATGCTCTTTGATTAGAGAAAACCTGAAGACTTCTGACTGGATTTCTAATGATTGTTCTTTTAGTATTAGAAATGCAACCTGCATCTGGAAGACTCTAGAACAGTAACAACGTTGTAGGTGGTGTAGAAAGTTCTGCTGCTGGGAAGGAATGGGATTTTTAATTAAATCAGTGGACTAGACCACTGGGGATCAACTGGGGACAAGATGAAGCAGACAGCTGATAAATATGTAACCTACTGGCTGATCTCACTTGATGGCAGAATTAGGATGATATTGGAGCCAGTCTGTGCAGAATTTGTCCCTTTTAGCAGCATTTACTTTCAATTACTTTGGGCTAAGTGCAGTTTTACTTTCTTGTGAGTCATTACAATTATAGGAATGTAATCTTAGAAGTCCTGATTTGTATTTGTAATCAATAACATCTGTAATATTTATGTTAACATTACAGTTAGTGCTGTGCTTCCTGGTATAACGATGCTTCTCATATATATTTAAGATGACTCTCATTTGTTTAGATACAAAGATACAGCATTTGCAAACATTTAAACACTGCTTGTCCTAAATAGCCAAAAAGGTGGAACTAAATTCCCCAAATAATGAGATTTATTCTCTATTAAAATTGAATTATTTCTTCCATTCACATTTGCCATTTTTTACACTTTAATTTCCAGTGGTGTGCTGTGGTGTCTAGCTCTGCTGTCAGTGACAGACAGCAAAGTGGTTGTGAGTTTACACGGACTCAATAAATAAGGTATCCTTCCCTCCCACTATTTAAAGATTTCCCTCTTTCTGGCAATGCTAAGTTTTCTGTATATAGTCTTTGGAAGTGGCGGGGGGGAGGTTGTTTTTAGATACTTGTCTGGGTCTAAATACCATGTACGAATTTAAAATCAAAGTAGCAATTTGTAGGGAAAATGTTTTTCTCGAACAGGCACCAGCCACACTGCTAGCAGATGTTTCTTTAACCTACTACATCTGACAGCATGGGTAGAGAGCTGATGCATGTAGCTTTGATGACACAAGGTTTGGTAACCATTTGGGTGTGTTCTGAGTGTGATTTTATCATGCAAGGACGTTTGTAGTAGACGGTACTGAAATTACATATTGCATCTTGCTGTAATTACTGGGTAGCATGTTCAGGGAGCAGTCCCTGTAACATAATGTAAACTAATGTTCTTGTATCCATTCAAAAAGCCAGGAGAAAGAGACTACTGTTTCTCATCTTACAAGTACCAAGTGTCCTGGAGGTCACTGGGTGCCTCTGGCCACTCAGCCTGTAAAAATAAGGCCTTTTTAAAAAATACTCCTAAAACCAGATTTGCAGTCTGATACTACCTTCCTGGAAATATATCTTTAAATCTCTTTATAATGTTAAATAAAATTTGCAGGGTGCTTGGGGATTGGGATGTAGGATTGTCTACATATTCACTGCTGCTTTTGGACTGGGGTTTTCCTGAGCTTTCCATGGGTCTGTAAGGAGGATGAGGAGAAACGCATATTTGTTTAGGCTGTCCTGGATTCCTGCTGTCAGAAAACTGGCCACCACTTGTGCAGCGAGATAGCCTGGTCTCATCTATCAGCTTGTATCAGTGCATACCTCTTCCTCTCTCAGACTGAAAACAGGTAGTTGCAGGGAGGGGGGTTGCTGCTGCCATCACAGGTCATCTAGATTTCAGTACTCAGCCCTCAGCATTTTTAGGCTTGAGAAAAAGGCCTCTCACCGTTCTACGCTCTCTCCATCCTCTCCTTATGAACATACAAAATGTGTCAGACCTGGTACCCTGCACTGTAAAGACAGGTTCCCCTGTTGAAAGTGAGGACAGTTTTCTGAGCTGTT